GCCATCGCTCACCTCCGTCAACCACCGCTTACTGGACGTCATCAGTCGACGTCATAACGTGGAAAGCTAGTAACCCTTTCCCGCCTGTGGGACAATGGGCATCTGTAATCATCATCTTATAGTGGATTTTTACAACTGGGCAAGGCCCCGTGGTTTTTCCCTTTTTACGGGTTTTCCACGTAAAAATTCATGGTGTGATCACAGCTTGATTCACTTTCATCTGAGTGTGTGCTGAATTTTCGTGCAACGCTAAGACGATAATTCATTACTCTACCGCCGCGAATTTTCTAGCACGCATCAGATTTATTTGAGTCAATTTTTTATTAATTGCTCAAAAATTAAAATAATGTTTCCACAAAATTTAAATTTCATACACAACCTGAAAAAACTAAATGAATAAAGTTCAAATTAAAGTGATTTTTAATCTAACTCTAAATTGTATTGAGTATGCAATTTGATTGGCATGCATCTCAAATATTAAATAAAAAAAATCCAAAAATGCTACAAATTTTGAAAAGTTTAAATATAAAATTAAAAATTTTAAAACAACTCAAATTGCAATGACCACTCCAAGTAGGTCAAAATGGACCTCCTCCTAAGATCACGAACAATATAAAGCTGAACATTTCTATAAGATCATAATCACTAAGAATTTGATTAGGATTCTCCAAATAGCACTAAGATACTACTAGAGCATTAGTCATATATATATATATGTATGTATGTATGTATGTATGTATGTATGTATGTATGTATAAAGTATTATTAAAATAAAATATATGAAAAAAATTACTCTTTAGAATATACATGCTTGTTTGCAAAAGATGAAGAAAATTTTTTTCTTTTCTTAAGGAAAAAAAAATTGCGTTTGGAGTCCAGACTCGAGCTGCGTCGGAACTAGGGCTGTCAAAAAAGCTCGAACAAGCGAACAGTTCGTGTTCGGTTCGTCAATGAGTTCGTGTTCGATTCGTTCGATAAATAAACGAGACGAACATGAACAATTTTTTTAATTCGGTTAGTTAAACGAACCAAACACGAACAATTTTTTTCATTCGGTTAGTTAAACGAACCAAACACGAACAGTGAGCGTTCGTTTGTGTTCGAATCGTTATTGTTCGAAATATAAAATAATTTAAAATAATTGTATATAAAAATTCATGGTATTTTAAAAAATTAAATTTTATAAATTATAATATATAATAAATAAATAATAACAATATATTAATATACTAGATTAATAATATACTAATATATATATTATTTATTTATATAATATAAATTATATAATTAATATAATATATTATTTATATATATTAATATTAGAGATGTCAAACAGGCTCGTCGTTCGAGAACAGCTCGTGTTCGACTCGTTCGGTAAGAAACGAACACGAACAGGGACTTCACGAACAATTTCGAACACGAACTTATTTCAAACAAACTAAATTTCAAACGAATCGAACACGAACACAAGCTCTGTTCGTTCGTGTTGGGTTCATTTACACCCCTAGTCGGAACAACGGACGTAATCCACTAGTTGTCCTTCTTTTTCTCTCCTCCGCTCATTTCCGTGTGTCACGTCCGTGTCCGGATGGTCCGGATGCAGCAGTGCGTCCGGACGCAGTATTTTTTTTTCCGTCCTAAGGGATGAGTAGTCAATTTATTTGGATAATTCGGTTTTCAAAGTGATTTAATTAAATTACAACCGAAATTCAAAATTCAGAAAATTATATCAACACAGTAAAATTTTGAAAAAAATCAATTTAAATATATTGATTATGAATAAATTGAAAGTTATTCGCTGATAAGAGTTTGATTATAAGCAAACATCAAGAATTACATTTCTTACGTATATAATATCAGTTAAATTTCATAACTCCTCCATCTAATTTCAAATTTTTATATAATTTTTCTTTATTAATTAAATAAAAATTAAAATAGAAACAATAATGAAAAATCACATATTAAAAATTAAAAAACAAAAAAAAACTGAAATATATATTTTAAATTAAACCAAATAAACTGAATTTGTTTGATTTAAAATTTAATTTTTTTAATTCCAATCAAATAATGCACACCACAAGCGCCCAACCATCTATCTCCTGCTTCCATTATTAGAACTTCCTGCTCACCTAAACCCTCTATAAATTCACAGCCATATAAACTCACAGGTTATATTTAAGCTAGAGATCAAAGAGATGGCTGAGATGAAGATGGTTATAATGGCTTTGTTCCTCGCCATCGTGCTCACCGTATCGACGTCGTCTAGGCCCGAACAGGCGGCCGGCGACGCCGACTGCATCAAAGACTGTGTTCGCCGCTGTTTCACCGGCAGGGATTACGCCTCCTGCACTGAAATATGCGCTGTTGAATGCGCTAATAGGGTTCCATTCCCCATCTCACCTCCTGCAGCAGTGGCAGCTGATGTTCACAATTGATTAATTGACTTGGTGGTTTGATTATTGTATAATGTTCATTGATTCTCTTATTTTTGTTCTTTTTTGTTTTTTTTTTGTTCGTGCTGGTTTCTGTATCTTTCAGCTGTGATGGAAGGTGAAGCAATCAATGAAAGAGGTATATAGTTTTAAAAGAAAGCAGAAACTAAAAGAATCAGCAACAAAAAGCATTTTTATATGATTTAGCATTTGACTCGACTCGGAATGGTCTAGCGCCAATCGGCAAAATTTCATGCGTTTTCTTGGCTTAAGACTTCTAAGCTTAAGATTTATGGAGGTCTTGATTTGCTTAATCTTGATATGATTAATGTTATGTGCAAATCTAAAATTGTTAGGAGATTGTTTAAAGTTCCTTCTCTTTTAGCTGCCTGGTTCTTTCTCTTTTTAGAAGAATCTAGTTCAAGTGGCATATAGAGTTTCTTTCTTCCCTTTTGTTAGTTGTTTTGGTTTGTCCTTTTATTTTGTTATGTCTAGCTGTTTTTTCTCTTGCTGCCTCTTTTTGTTAGTTTGTTCTTTTAGGTTGTTATTAGTCCTCTTTCCTTATTGGTTTTTTATTCTTTTTGCTGTAGGGTTTTTTTGCTGAATGGATTTTTTTCTTTTCTGCATCTTTGGATGTTCTTTTAATAATTCAAATACTGTTTTTGATTTTTCCTTTTATGATTGTTATTTGGTATTAGCTATGATGTACCCATTCATTGCTTTGAGATTTTATCATTCTCTAGAGATTCTATCACAGTATTTTTCATTTACTTTTTTCTTTTCATTAAATTTGGATAGAACCTCTGTTTCAACCATTTAATGAAAGTTATATCACATATTTGAGGTGTCTTTGAAGAACTTTCATATTTGTTGTCTTAAATTAGTCGGCCTTATAGTTCACTGCTTATTTTAATTAGAAATTATTCTTAGTTTCTGATTAGCGTCACTTAATTTTGATTTGAATTTTGTTGAGCTTTATTTTCTCTGCCCTATTTCTACCTTCCTGGTGATTTTTGGTTTGTCTGAGCTTTTAGTTTTTGCATGTGAGTGATGTGGGATCTTTGTGGTGTTGTTCTTTGTTACTGGTCATAGTGGTGCAGATTGATGATGATCCTTGTGAAGTTATTTGTTGTCGATTGTTGTAGTTTCTATTTTTTTTAAATGCATAAATATTAGAAAAGCTTTTCAAGTTGTAAGTTTTAAAAATTTTATCAGTGTCAACTTATGAATCCAACACTACATAATAATAATCAAATTATTCGTTATAAATCAATTGAAATGAATAAATTTTATTAACTAATCATGTTTATTTTGATCATATTTTAATCAATTTACTGAATTATGAGGAGTTATGAATAGAATTATACTTTAACAAATTTGTTCAAATGTTTTATTTGCCTGATTAAAGTAATTCCAAAATTCTAAAAAACTCCACCTTTTTATCAAGAAGAGTTTATAATCATTTTCTCCTACAGTATCCCCAAAAAACGTTTCCTTATACATGAAAAATATGTTATGTTTTTATTTATGCTAATGAAATGGTACAACTAAGTTGATAGGCCCAAGCCCTATGTGCATCTTAGGTTGCCATCGACATC